AAGTGGCAATGGAATTAAAACAAATCATCAAGTATGGAATGCAAAATTATATCTGTAAGGAATTCAAACCAAACATGTACTGTCTGTATGCCTATATTCCCTCCATAATTATGTTTATCTTTTGTATTATTCAATCTTACAATCAGTAGTCTCTAAAACGCTTTTACAATGTACTTTCACATTTTCTACATATTGCATTTAGGGAGTAACGCACATAAATGAAGCACAATGTCCACAGTGCATCACAAAATCAAATAAGAAATTTCAAGAACAAGGGAAAAGAAAAATTGAAAAAAAATAATCCTACCTGGTCAGTTTCAATTTTATGCTTGATCGTAGTTAAGTCAATCGGTTTTTCAATATAACTGTAATATTCTGGATAATCTTTTCTCGATGGTAGAAACATAAAAGCAGTAGCAATACGCCGTTTACCATCCTGAAAAAAAAACTTTTTCGCGTACTGATTTTTCTAAAATTTTTTAAGCATGGTCGATGTGATGAGATAACAATAAAGTCAGCAGACTCACGGGCTTGGTTGTTTTATCTATTATCAATCTGTTTTAGTTATACCAAATCAGCTAGTGTATAAATTCAATAATTATAAAATGACTGTCTATGAAAAATTACGTAGAAAATTACCATATGATCGTAAACAGTGTTCCACAAAATTGTCAGTTTCTTTCGAAAAACTGCTTGCATTTCATTACTCCATCCTCGGTTACTTCCCCGTCTTTTAAACTCAGAGCCCTCAACGTTCGATGCTGGAATAGCAAATGATTCCGGCTTTGCGCCTGAACCTGCAACTTGCATAGATGTTGATCCCTCTATTTTCCGCAGCTTTTTCCAAACAGATCGTGTGACAGTCGGCGATTGTGCACTTTTATCCGATATCCTTTCTTCAACTTCATTTACTTTAATAGTCTGAAAAAAAAAAAAATTTCTTAAACTGATTTCGATAGTGGAATATTAATGCCTTTGAACCTGAATCCAGAGCTTGCGTAGCTATTGGTAGCAACAGAACTTTATAAAGAGCAATTGAGGTCGTCCAACTGTATGTTCCAAACAGATCACTGATGATATAATAAAAAGTCTTACTTTTAGTAACGCTCGAGTCTTTGATCTTGCCAACCTTTCCAATTTTGCTGCTGCTTCATAAATATCTGAACCTTCAACATTGTAGGTTTTGGCATTTTCAAAAACCAACACAATATCCTTCAGAAGTTCTTCCAGTGTATGATACTCATCACGTTTTAGCTTTTTGTTTATCATAAAAAGAGACATTGGATCCGAAATTTCGTCAAAATAGTCTGGATACCAGCTAGAAATACGGGAAGTTAATAACTTAACCACATGCATCTCAAAATTATTAGAGTGAAACGAAGTTAAACGTACAGGCAGCAAATAAAGCTAGAAACAGGGTTAGAAATCGAAAGAAATGAGTAGTCACTTCTCCTATTTTTAAGTATATCTGAACTTCATTTTTTGAAAATTTGAAATTGAGAAAATCTACAGAATTTCACTTTGAGACTGACCTTTTGTTGGGTAATTCCAAAAATGGATCTGCCAGATTAGTTTCCGGATCAACTGGATTGGGTTCATTACGAATTGTCCAATACAATATCCATTTTGGTTCACTGCTGTGTTCCGAATCTTCGTCTTCTTCGGAATCTTCTGAATATTCTTCACTCGAATTAACTGTAGCGTTTTGGGCTAAAAGTTCATCCAAAACTTGTTTATTTGCACTGATCCTGAAATTATTTCTCTTTGACTTCCGTTTTTTTTTGATATGGTGTGTACATAGAAAACCTATATTTTAAAATTAAAAGAAAAAATCCAAAAAACTAACCTTTTAATTGTCAGCGGTTTGTGTTTGGAATTGCATAATTCTGCCTTACGTTTCATATAATTTTTCAACAACATAGAAGCATCCTACAATAAATTCTTTACAGATGCAATATTCTTCACAGATAAAAACACAATTGAGGTCATATCATAATTTTGTAAATTTCTATTTTTGAGTTTCATTCCTTAAATTGCAGTGCCTAGAAGGATGCCATTACCATTTTAAAGAATACAAAGAGACAATTCTATTGCTGCCTGACATATCACCTTTAATATGGAACCTGCTACTGTTTAACTTAAAACACTGCGCAGTGATTTGGAATTTTATAAAACAGTTGATAGTATCAATTAATATAAATGAAAGTTGATGCTAACAATGAATAGAAAATGAAATGAATTTTAGATTTTATTGAAGATATTACATATAGCACAAACCTTACTAATCACTGAACCCAATTCGTTGAAGGCTTTTGCATTTTTACACATTAATCGAAAATCCGCATCAAACTGTTGCCAAGTGCGGTATTCACCAGAACGAATTTTTATCGTTATTTGTTTGAGATCAATAGGTTTTTTGATTCGATCATAATAAGTAGGGAATTCCTTGAATTAATTTCGCTTTAAAACTTGGAATACAGACTGCTAGAAACAATAATAGCAGTGTGCAACGACAGAATGTTTTTAAATTTGCAAGACTGATGACTGTAAATCATAGAATATACGCACGCTAGCTAGTGACAATCATGACTCAATTTAAGACAATCATGACTCAATAAGAAGCAAAATGAAGTCGAAATCTGTGCGGAAATAGAAATTTATGCGAAAACAAACTTCTTGAGATAGTAAAACACGGAAGGGTGGGCTAAGCAATCGACCAGTTTCATCCGTGAGTTCCAAAGTGCAAACAATAATTTCTTCCAGTAAATCAACTGACACCACGTCCCGTTTTGCCTCAACTGTTTTATTCTTTTGGCTGCAATAATTATATTTGCTTCGAAAATTTTCAAACCACTAGAAAGCTGGCAAAATATTGCAATCCTTACTATTAGTATGCTCCAACAACAGTTTGACATATTAAAAACTACAAAGAACAAAATATATACTGAGATTTCCAACTCAGAACTATGTCATCCTTTATTTTAGTAGCTATGCATTAAGAATATTTCTACAATATAATAAATAATAATAATTGAGAAACACAAAAAAAAAAAAAAAAAAAGAAAAAACGAACTGTTCTTCCATTTTTGCGACAGAAGCATTCCCAAGCATTTCTTTCCTGTGTGACTCAAATAATTCCCATAATTCACAAGCATCTTTGTGTTCTTGACTGCCTTCCTAAATCAAGAGCTTACAGATGAATTGAAAATGCTAAGTAAACCTTAGCATTGTGTGATTATGTTATCAAACACAAATTCAAGGAACGGTTCATGATACTAATTTGCCGAACTTTTCTATTTGATTCGTAAAACGTGGAAAGAATGAAAGTCTATAGAAAAGGTTAAAATGACTATTTTAAATTTCAGAATAAATCTGAAACTCATGGAAAAAAATAACCTTGTAATAAGTTTTATTATTATTGACCAAGAGACGGACATCTGCAGAAAGATCTTCCACAGAACTGTATTCTTCGGTTTTAATTTTCTGCTGAATTCTTGTTAAATCAATCGGATGCGTGACAACATCAAAATACTTTGGATCCGTGCTGAAAATAATTTCAACCCAAAGTAAATCAAATGATTAGAATTTATACAATTTCATAATTATGATAAAACATACCGGCGAGATGGTGCACGGATGAAACTTTCACACAGTATTCGATTATCGGCAGTCCTATAACTACGTAAAGCATCCACCAATTCGGCACACTGTCGCAACTAAATTTACCAACTTATCTTTCAGAATTTTAAATTTAAGTCCATAAAGCACATCATATTTTTTATTCTCATAAGGTTACATAACACAATATCTCCCAACTACTACATCAAAAAAGTTAAATTACTGCATACATGAAAGAAATATTTCAACACTTATCTATGCTTCATATAATTTCTATTATTTATTACGTACAAAGCAATTATTTTATTACGTATAATTTCCGCTACTTATCTGAAACCTTTTTAAATTTGCTTAACAGTTTATTATTATCAGCAATCTGTAATGTTTACTTCTAATTGACAAAGATGGCTTTGCATATTGTTTAAAAACATGAGGTTTAAAGAGCGCATTACCACCGTCCCAGCTATCAAAAACTCAAGTCCGCTCAATATTTTTATAATTATTTTAACTGGTTACACTTCAAATAAATGAACTCTTTAACAAAAGAAATCAACATCACTTATGATTTTTTTGAACAACAAACATCCCAGTACTATCCTCTTGAATCAAATCTGTTGGATGATAAATAAATGCCTAATCGTAAAATGAATGTAATAAGGACATTACATCATGCAATTCTTCCCTAACATTACGAGAACGTCGTCCATGTTTGCTTGGGATGATTGGTGATATTTCCTCTCTCACGCATGCTTTACGTTTCACTCCACTCATGGTGGTATTCTTCCTGCAAAAAAAATCCTAAACTTATTCCAGTATGTTATAGTTCTCTAAGTTCCACGATCATATCCTATATCATATCAATGTAACACAATAAAATCTCATTTGTCTCTCATATCCACTAGCTAATCCTTACATTATCAAAGAATTTTCACCATCAACAGTTAACTGCAATAAATCATCCAATTATGATGTAAAAGAGCCTGAAATTATGACTGTACAGTTCGACTAACTATAAGAAATGTCAATTAAATTACAAGAGAAGTAAGTATACTGCAAGTGCCTTACTGTACTCGTCACTTTCTATCACCACCGATTAACGAATTAAGATTGCTATTAGTTGGATCTCCTCACAATTCCCGTGATTGCGTGGACCTTACTGACAGTCATCATTGAATATTTGTTATAGTATTGTTTGCAGCATCACAATAACCCCACCTAACAAACTCGTCCTTACGTACCCTTACGCAGATGCGGTAAATTGACGGAATTAACCGACTCCGTCAGCACTCCCTGGTTCACTAACTTACTCGCTCGCATGAAGCCAACTTCCCCGCTCAAATGCTGCCTCATTTTCTTAACTTTCTATGGTGTTCACGTCAAGTTCACGCCATAGAACCCCACAGTACACGGAAGTGACAAGTGATAACCACAGGACACGCACGACTCGCCAATTCGCGCATATCATACAGGGACGCGACGCACTGCACCCAGTGCAAATACATGTCTCGCGTCGCGGCCCTTGGCGGTAATTCGAATTCGACCGCAGTCTGTGCTCCCTGTGTGTGGGTGTGTGCGAGGGGCGGTGTGCCGTCCCGCATGCGATCGATAAGCCGGTGCAGACGCATCGTAGACGCATCCGCGTGTGTGTGTGTGCATGTCTGCACGTGTGTGCACGTGTGTGCACGTGTGCGTGGAAGCAGACACTTTCGTAGGACTACATATTTCCACGAACATATGTGGCATATGTTGGTATGTGCGAGTACACGCACAGAGCACTGGTAATTGCACATTGAGTGCACGTGCATATGTCTGCGAAGTGCATGCATGCTGTAAGTCGGGAAGTGAGACGACGACAACAGTGGTAGTTTGTGCTGCACGCATGTGCACTGTATACATGCAAATTCGTGCACACGCACATATACATTTGGAAATTGTTGTGCGGTCATTTTGAAATCATGAGTCTATGCTTGTACTCGTAGTTCTCGGTTCCGTTTCCACGTGTGCGTACTTCAAGGCTATGATTTGCACGAAGTTTGCAGATGAACTGCAACGTAAATACACGTTTTCATTAATGCCTTTGCACTACACTACTTTGTTTTAACTTTTTATATATTCCTTATTACAACAGCATTCAATTTTTTAAATTCCATAAGTTCCCAGAATATTTGAATTTTATCTATTGTCACTTTAATGTGATGTTATTCTTGTTTATAATTTTTGAAAAAACAAATTTATAATTTCCAATATTTTGTTTAAAATTCATAGTATGTTTTATAAGCGTCGTTTTTGTTTCTTAACGCCTTTGTTTATTTCTCCTGTCACATTTTTAGTTATCAAAAAACTTTAGCCTTTGGCATTTTTGATTTAGATATTGAAACTTACAGTAGAATATTATTTTGCCCACGAAAGTGCACTTAATTTGACAATCACTCCCACAGGAGTGCACTCCTACACATACTGTCCTGCATTCTTCTCGCGATCATCTACTGCACTTCTTTATATAACACTATTAGCCTAGTGCTATGTTACACTACTATCACATTCATACATTGCAGGAAATTTTGATATCTTTCCCTTCTTCTCTCTCAACTCCATGCTTGCATTCATGTTCTTCTCGTTTTGTAATTTTTTTTTACTCTCATCAATGAGCGTACTTCAACACGAACGCTTATTTGACGTTTTCGACATCGCACACGTCCTTTTGGATTGTATCATATTTAAAAAATCATAATATTAACCATTTGCAGGGTATATCTGCTAATGGCATCGAAGCCGAAACGACGAAGGACGGAAGAGCTAGATGGGACGGAGACGATACTTTTGGGAAATGATCTGAAACAAATTAAGAATATCCTACTGAATTTGAAGGTGGCTCACATTTTTGTTTACTTCCTTCATATTGGGAATTATCCAAATAATTACTAGTAAATTAAATGAATAACCTAGCAATCATCTATGCTCGAATAGATCTTCGAGCTAAATCGAATTCTTTGATTAAGCAATGATGAGCTAGGTCATTGTAGAAAATCAGTGAAATAATTTGTCTTTTCTACCATTATTTTTAAGATTAATTCGAATTCTAGGTTTTAATTGATTTCCTCGGTACTGTGATAAATATTATTGCAGCAAGCATTATATCATTATAAGGGATTAACATGTTTAGACTGATATATTTACTTGTCACACATCATGTAATATTTTGTCTATTATAGTTGATGGAATTGAGGAGTTAAGTCAATATTTCAAAAGTAAGACGTGTTTAACAAAACCTAGTTCAAAATGCGAATTTATTAATACAAATTATATAAATATTTAGGAAATAAAAAAGGTTGATGCATTGAAATTAAAAGCAAAAGAATTTCCACGAATCGGGGTTACACTGATGACTGTCCTATGGAAATGTTCCTTGCAAAATTTTGATGATGAGTAAGTTTTTTTTTGTGCAAGCTTCCAAAAAGAATAGTATCAAGAAGCACAAGTTGGAACAAAGGGAAGAAGAATATTATAATGTAATTACTTCAAAGAACTATTATGGTTATGATTTTTATAATTTCGTTGGAATAAATTCCAAAAAAAGCGATATTTATAATCCAAATTTAGTTCTTGAATGTTTCAGGTTTTTTTTTTTTTTTTGCTTCCATCAGTAATAGCAAGTGTGCTTTGAAATGTCGATTAAGGTATGAGGAAAACTGATACTATTGGTAGAATTAAGCATTCTGGAATTTATTTTCATTAGGTCAGATACATTTCTTATTAAGCTTGCTACTTAAAAACATAGTGTTAATGAAAGTGTTAATGTTCAGTGCGTAGTACGTTGCATGGTGTTAATATACTAATAAAAGTTCTTTCATTTGCAGGCCGCAATGGTTACAGATTCTAAATGATGTTTTGTGTGTTTTGACAAATATCTATGAGATGGTGCCTTCTTTATGCTCAGAGGTTGGTTTTTATTACTTATGTGAATTCCATGGGCCTGATCAATTTTTTTCAAATTTAAGCCCCTTGTGATTCAAAACTAACTTTCTATTACTGAGACATTGCAGCTAGCTGAACCACCCGGGAACTTTGCGAATATTGCAGGTATATTTGAATCTTAGTTTATTTAATTAATCATTACTTAAATTTGAAATGCTTTAGTTTGTCATATTCCCGATGTTGTGGAAAAATGACGCATATCTTCTGAAATGGAAAAAATCCCAGACATGTTTGCAAGCTTGAAGTTGTTAGTTTTACCGGGCTGTCTGTTTAGAGTTAACGTTTGTTCCAGATATGGATAAATATAACGGTTACTGGAAAATACTGGTGGAAAATTAAGAGAAACAAGTATACAAAAATGCTAATCATACAAAATGTGCAGTGTCTTCTAAGTTCATTCGCAGATTTCGATTAATTTCGCGAAATTTCAAAAATTTAGTTCGTTTGCTGGAAAGTGGTCCGAAAGTACCAATGGAGACAAAATGCGAAGTATTTCGTTTGATATGTAATGTTGCAACAGATCAACGATGTATGGAATTAATTGCCGAAAATACCCATCTGGTGGATCGTATAGCAATGGCGATTGATCATGAAGTAAATGAAGTGGCGAAATTGGCTCTCAAAGCAGCAAACTTTCTAGCAGTTAACAAAAGTGGTATCAAAGTAAGTTCATTATTTTCCAAAATCAGCTACAGATGCATCGCGTTTTATTTCTAACTGAAGTGATACATCACAGCATGAGTGGGGGATTGATTAAGATATCAATTTGTCGGTCGATCATATCTTCAAAAAAAGAAGTCACTGAAAAAAAAGAAGTCACTGGCTAGCGTATTTTTAGAAAAGTTAGGAGCATGATATGAATATGTTTCCTTAGATTGACATGTAGTGCTTCAATCCATAACATTTATAACTCATTCATTTTTCACCATTTTCTGACGAAATTTGTGATCTGAAGATTTAAGATCGATGAGTACTGTAAAGTATAGCTCTTCCTTTTCCACAGTATGTGTGGACTGGTAAGTACGAATGTCGTTTTTGCTATCAGTGGTTAAGTATTTTTGAAACCATCTATAAAGGAAAACATTAATTAAAAAGCCTTTAGTGATCTGGAACTTCCGCCGTAATGTACTAATTACCGAAATGGGCTTGGATTTGATGACTAGTCTTAACATGTAAAAAATAAATAAGATTTTTGAAAGATATTTATTTTCCGGTTAATATATTGAAGCGAACCAGCATAAATGGGGATATCTGTAAAATGAAAGGTAAAATACTAATCAGATTTACAAGAAAAATATTTCTTAAAAAGAAACTCTTTAAAGGAGCTTACAATTAAAATCAAATATGTACATTTATAAAAAAAGGAAAGGGAATGAAAAGAAGGACAAATCATCTTATCATTTAGCATCATCACTAACCGGTTCTTAATCATGGTCGCAGGAAATATGTCTAATTTTCGGGTAAATACATCACTATCCTTTTTTCATGTATTATTATTTCTACTTCTCTATTTGTCATGTTATAAATCCTTATTATTCAATACAATAGCTTAAAGCAGTTCTTTGATCCCACTTTTAACTTCTGTAATGTAATAAATCCTCACATGTCTTATGCTTTCATCAATGTGGAATGTGGTGTAGTGGAAATAAGATAGTGTTAGATAGTCAAAATAAATGTTAAATCTTTAGAGTACATGCTGTAATTTCCTTATTGTTTGATAGGTTGGAATAGAGTTATATTCGGTTTTGTTGACTTGTGAAGCTGTGGTATCTGCTTATCATGATAAGCGCGAATTGCTTCTTCTGGATAATCCTTATTTGTCTGGAAAACTATGTTAATTCGGGAAGCGTTATTGTTTGTACAATAATAAATGCTAAACTTATGATAGGGACAATAAATAATCCATTGATGAGGTAAATTGTTATGTACGAAGAAATCTTCAAATATAAAGAAAAGGACTAAACTCACTACCTTTGCAACTAGGCCGCTATGTGCGAGTACATTTTTTGACTGTTCTTCTGATTCATTGCAATCCTCTTGTGATGGATCTTGTCCTTCCAATTTCTTCTCTTGATTTCTCTCAGATTCCGAACTAAGTCGCGCTTTTCGAGTTCTTCGTACACCACCAGCGATTTTTTCGGCTGGTGCATGACCTCCTTTTAACACATCACACTGCTTGCTTTCAGTCATTCAACTAAATGAACTCTAGAAATCAAATCTGAGTAGTCCAATTCAAACTATGCAAAAAATAAGTAATAATTATAGAGGAATGAAATTGATTTACTCAATATTTAATGACGAGTTAACACTATTTTATACTATTTTATACGTGTAACAAAGTATTTTAATATAAATGTAATATTGTTTAAGTTTGTAAGCGAGAAATTATTTGTTCCTCCAGAAGCAAAAAGTTTACTGACATATTTAGACTTACCAATCTAACACCATATGTTCCTCTCCAACTTTATTTGATTCTTTAATAACTTAGATTTCTACTGTCTGCTTTTAATTAATGACTTATTCTTTGCTAAAAATGCCGATCAGTCCCGCGAATAATGGACTATATTATTTCTTTTTCATAGTTCTAAAGCTGTATAATATATATATATATATATATATATATTTATCTCAGATAAATATATATTTTAATTGGCTTGCATTTGAGACGTGAAATTTAAATTTAAATTTTAGTTTAGAATCTAAATTTAAATATAAATCCCAGTTATCAAACTCTAAGCATATATCTCCAAGCTCCCCAAATGCAAAATATTTCCCTACGGAAGAAAGCAGCACACAACGCGAACTGCTGACGATTTGCGCGACGCACTTTACTAAAGAGGCATGGCGTTCAATACTTCAGCATGGGACGGAGTGCAAATGAATGTCTTAACTATTCAAAAATAGCATATTTCAGTTGGCGGAAAAAGGGAAAGGAATTTGTTAATTTGACATAAAATAAATGAATTATTATTGCTCAAATTTTTAACGAAAGGCAAGCTAAGTATGACCTGTTTATATATGGTTTACAATGCCACAAATGATTGAAAAAATAATGTTATCGTCATGACCAAGCAGAAATTACACTTTCTAACAATGAAAGCCATTCTCTGATGATCAGCACTATAGATTTAAAACTTTGTCAACCTATTTTCGTATTCATTACGTTGTGAGATTATTTTTAAGAACGAAAAAATTCCCTTTTTTCCTTGTGCCAAAACTACGTCTACAACAAAATATGCAAAAGTAGGACAAATGTTGAAGGAAATTAAAATTGTTATAACTAAATTTGGTGTTACTATCATTATGTTATTCCATAATTCATTTCAGCTAATTTATTTAGGGTTCTAAAGATTTGAAAAATACCGAAAATATGTCGTCTTTTAGCGTTTGTTATTGTCAAATGTTGGTCTCTATCTGGGTAATTTATTATATCGAACGAAAGAAATGGCAGAGGCATTTGGACGTGAAATACAGCAAACTATCTTGCAATTAATTTGTCGTTTTGTCCGATATAAAGGTACGAAACGAATTGGACGACAACTGGCAGGGAGGTTAGAACTATAATAAAACCTCGGGTTTTTTTATTTTAGGTAAATAGAGTACCGGATTAATTAATCTGTTGGATGGTAGCTTTTTGTAGTATGTAAATTAATTAAAAGGATATTTCATATATGCTTCCTGATCAGATCCTTGTCCTTGTCCAAATAAAGTTTGTATTTCGTAATCAGAAAAATTAAAGTTGCAACATCATAATAGGCTGTTGGTGAAAAAGGCTATATTTTTTACCTATATTATGATAATTGAAATGAATGGAAAGGTTCTTTTTTTTTCATTCTAATTTTCAGTAATGGTGTTGGTGTTTTGCTGGATTGTTTCCTGGAAGGCCAATGCGAAAGCTATATCGTGGAAATGTGTAATGCGTCATTTGAACTTCGCGAGCAGTTCGAAACACCGGGTTGTATAACGAAAATTGTTGAGACACATCCACGTCCCGAATATATGTTAAAAATGCTTCTATGCTTTGCACAGGTGTAGTCAACAGAATTAGTGTAAGAAAAAATATTTGATGGAATGAAGAGAAAATGAACTTGAGATTTTTTTCGGGACAGAGAGCGTTAAAAAGAAGGAGGAGAATGAAGTTGGTACGTAGAGAAGGAGATACATTTTCGAATAAAAGCACAAGAAATAGATTTGATTTTGAATGAGTTAAGGATGCTTGGGGACGAGCAGCACTTCGTGGACACGGTGCCTTAGATATACTTATTGATGGACTCGAAAAAGCTGATTCTGTACATCAGATACTAATCGTCAATACGCTTCGGTGTGTGCATACTTCTCCGTTCAATTTTACATTATCGGAAAACTTGTCATTTAATAATCATTTAATACTGAAGAAAGATAGAATGAAGCAGAAAATTAGTGTGAAGGGAGGAAAATATGAAAGAATGTAAGCATCCAGAAAGGAAAAAAAAGAAGGAAGGTAAGGATCATTTCTAAACTAAGAAGCTTTTTGATAATATTACTGCGGATTTGTATATTTTCCATTTTTTTTTTTTTTCGAATATATCCATTTTTTAGATACTTTGTTCATGATGGAAGTGGACTAAGCTACCTGACATTTTCCACCAAATTCCTGGATATTGTTGTGGATCACATCAATCTTTACTTGAACAAAAATAAACGTATCTGTAGTGTAAGTATCCAGTACATGTTTCGGCTTATCTTAAACTGTAGTTTGTCTTGCTAATGCTTAATTATACTGTACATCCGTTGTCCATTCACGCACGTGTTGCATCTGTCACACATTAGTTTAGTATATCACATAACATGATATTTAAATTTTCACTTCTAGATACCTTTTTCATATTCATAAACACGCAAGCTGGGAAATTATAAAGCTAGAAAATTCTTACCTTTGCTGAATTATATAAAACTTTTTCCCTTTTTTTATTTAAAAATTTTTAAAATAGATGTATACAATTTTGATGAATTTTAATTAGTGTCGCATCGCTTCAAACCATTTTGTTATTTTAAATTTGATCGAATTGCAATATTATTTTTATGAAACGAAACATATTCATTTTTTTCCTTTTCTTATCCTCCTTAATAGATATAAATTTTTCACAATATATTTGATAAAAAAGATTTTAGATGATGCTAAATCGAGCTATCAGTGAATGTTCAATCCACAACAAAATAGGGCATCGTAAAACAGAGTGTTTATGTTGCAAAATGATGGTATGCACATTTTAGAGTTGAATGTCATTTCAAAAATGATTTCATTTTTATGGGCAGCTAAAAGAGCTAATTTTATTTGAGAATAATCCGAAAACTTACACTGGTTAGGTATAAAAACTTTTCTTTAAATTTAAAAGACTTGAAAATGACCAGACAATATCAATCTGTTTCGAAAGAGAAATCATTTTTAGTTAATGCCATTTCACTCAACCAATTTTGATATGCTCAATCATGCTGTGGACTCTGATGCATTCTCGTCTGGAAAATTGGTCGAATTTTCTTGGAGTCCATCGCAGTCACCACCACCTGGAATGCGATCACCGCAGATGTCACCAAAAAGAGTGCCACTGTTTGAGTTCTCTCTTTTTATTTTATTATGCATGGAGTCCAGCTATAAAAAAGCCAAATTCCCTAAAAGAAAGAACTGGAGAGGGCGTAGCAGCATCACTGATCGTAGCAGACAATAAGGTCGCATATCTAATACATGTCCACTTTCCCTCACATGATTTGTTGTGATAGTACAAAGATTTTGTTAAAATTAGATATTGTAGATAAGCATAATCAATCATTCTTAACGTAAGACTTTTGTTTCCATACATAAGGATGCAATTCACTTATCCAATTTAGAAAATTTAATACTAAATTGTAGTCAATTTATGTTATTAATTACCGAAATGCCTACCAAATCATTTCAAGTTAAAATTTTGGAGTATCAAATTTCACGCTACATAGTGAGAGTTGTAGTTCACCGACATCGTTGATGGATGAATACATCGAATGCATGGAACGTCCAACATCAACAAATAATCATATCAATTATTTGAGTCGTGCTTCACATACACCTCACAGGAATACGGAGGTAGGTACCATTTATGAATTTAACAAAATTCCCTATTAACATGTCTATGATTATGTCAGTAATAACAGCCATTTGGGTTTAATGTTATCTGGAATTGATATGTTTGTATGTCACACGAATATTGAATTTATATTAATTGTATACTATGTAAACTATTTTAGCTGGTAGTTGGTGAATTGTATATTTTGGCTTGGTTATCACACAGTGAGTCTAATATGAGACGAATGATTACATCAAAAGTAACTTTTCATACTATTCATATATCAAAAAGATAAGCCTAAAGTTTTTTTTTTTTTTTTTGAGAAATAGGTACAATCAGCCATATACTTTAAGTGTGTGAAATAAAGAAATAAGAATTGGAAGTCCCCTAAAAAAATAGTTGTAGCAAGCAAAATGTAGATAAGACAAGACTATTGTTGCTAAAACATAGCTTAAATATATATTTAATTTCTACAAGACTGCAAAGTGTCATAATGTGATATGTTCCTTTTTTCTCAGATTGTCAGTACTTTACTACACTACATTTCTGAAGCACCATCGATGGTTTCCAAAGCACCACGTACAATACGACGAATTTTTCGTCATCGTTTAGCAGTGGAGAATTTATCTCGTTTAGAGTTGCATACTCTTGTCATCCATATCCTGCTGACACGGAAATGCGAAGTTGGAAAGTATGCTTCTCAGTTCTATTATTTCGTTGTTGCGTTGCATATATATGTTAATCTACTTATATAAGGTGATAAACAGTGTGGTCTTATTCACTATTAATTTACATGGTTATTAGTTCACAGTATTATACTTCATTAAATTTCGATTTCAAATCATTTTGGCATGCGTTGTTTGGTCTTTTTATTTTTATATCGTTTTTTGATAAAATATATACCATGCTTGACTCTTCCATTTTTTGGACTATAATTTTTTATTTTGTTGTCAGCGAAATTTTTTATTGGGAATCAACTTTTTTATAACAGCTATCATTAATTATATTTCATCCAGGAGTAGCAGATTGACACTATGCCAATAAGAAGCATAGTTTGATTGTTTTTCCACTTTATGCCTCGATTTATCTAAATTTTCAGGCGAATTTCGCAATGTTCAGAATGTGCAATTAGAAGCGATTTTGGTAACGCTTTATTGGAAGAATTTTCTTCCCATATTGATGCACCGTTTGGATTAGAAGTACTTAAAAATATATATAAATCAAGCGATGAAATTGAACAAATGAAGGCCTGTATTGCAACGTTACATCTCGTTAGGTATCTTTTTATTGTATTCTTATATTATGGAGTAGAGATCTGAAATAGTTGTGTTGCAAAGAAATTAAGATGAAGAAATTCAATTCATTTTTTATATCAAATCTGAAATTGACATCTTGTCAATACGTAATGCTCAGTTCCTCTCCGTTCTGCTAATTTCCGATGCCTATAACACGAAATTTACTCTTACAAGTAAAACGCTTAATTGAATTTATATTTAAGTAAAAGTTTAATTGAATTTACATTGAACTAAAATTGTAAAAGGAGAGTTTTTCTTCAAATCGATATGCGTGATTTTCAAGCATTTTTCAGAAGAGTCGATAACTGGAAGCGGATGCTTGCAACCCATAACCCGGTTGAACGTCTATTGGCAAAATTACGTGAAATATTGGTTGATAGCAGTTATGAAGAAAACTGGCGTATAACAACGTACTGTGAAGGGGTGTGCCTTTTTTTTTCAAGTTCTTCACTCAAAAATATATAACACCTATAAGAGCAGATGAATAAAAAACACAAAATGTTTTTAGAGCAGGGACAAAAGTTATGCACGGTTCCAAAATTTTTTCTCTGTTTAATCCCTCAGTGATTTTGGCTGATTGCTTATGCATTAATTAACATCTGGAGGAAGTTTAATTTTTTCAGCCAACGTTAGTTCGTCAAATTTTGGTTGCGTTATCATTTTTGATTCCATCAGATGTACTGTCAACTTCTTTACATGCTATCTGGGGTGATATCTCGGTCTACATCAGTAGGGATATGCCACTTAATAAATGTATTGTGAAGGAAGCAATTTTGCTATCAAGAAAGGCCATACCGACAACATTTAGTTTACCGGAATTCATCAAATTTAAATGTGGTAAAATAATAGAAGTTGTTCCCAAGAAATGTTTATGTGAAGGAAGTGAATATTTTCGGGTATTTTTTTTTACGATTTTATCATAGTTCAATTTCATCACTCTCCTGATTGCATATAATGTGCAGATTTATCAGGAAATCTAAAATGTATTGAATTTTTAGAACACTGGTCACTTTTAACTTAGGGAAACGTCACGAAAATGAGATACTATGCCGAACTAATTGGGTATTGTGTTTGATAACTTAATATAGTTGAATATTTTTCAGCTGAATTTTTTTTAATACATGCCAACTGTAAATACAAACACTGATTATTAAAATAACCACATTTTACAGCTGTATTCAAAATTTTCGTTTTACTTGTCTGCATGTAATTCCTTCTGCAATTCTTGGGAAGAGATGATAATTATAGCTTCGCCTGAGAATTGCTTATTTCTCGATCAGCGACACGTTATAAGAATGACAAATACTTCTAACTCTCAAAATATTATATATGAATTATTTTTTCTTTGGGAAGTTAATCTTTAAAAATTAATTTTCAGGGTATGTTTGGAAGTGGATTTTCAGAGCAATTCCGGGATACATTTAATTTTGATGAAGAGGAAGAACAATGCTCTTTTCGCTTATTTTCTATTTTCTTGCATTATTTAAGTGGCTGTGGCAAATCATGCGTGAAAATAACTGAAAATGATATACCAGCTTTGCTAAAGGTGACCGATTCTTATTTATTCCAAATTATATGGCCATCGCAACATATTGCCTTGATCTCATGCAACTACTAGATTTAACTGTTGGAGACACGAACTATTTTGGTCAGATCCATTCTTAACTGTATTAAGTATGCATCCATGCTGTTACTAGAAAGTATATTATAGAACCCAAAAAGTACCATATATAACATTTCCGCACTTCAGAAATTCCCCTTAGACTTAATATTATATATGTCGGAATTCAGAGGGGTAAAAAATAATAAATTGATAGTTAAAAAGCAAATAGGTTCTGAATTACGTAAAATTTCTTCCTGTAAACAGATGACTGTAAATGGAAAATTTTACAGCTGTCGGACCGTTACCTCTGCACTGGGATAAGCTCCAAGTTACTAGCTTATGAAAGTCCGCTCAGAAATTTGATCAGCGGTGAAACACTGCCGAATTATCTGGAAGTTATGCTTTCTACTGGAAGTGATACATGTAACGTATTGAGGGATGCCTGTATAAGCTGCCTGCTCAGGTCTTTTTTTTTTTTTGATTATGCCAAAGAAGAACATTGCTGGGTATAAAATAATTGTTCTGAATCATGCTAATCGCATTATCTGGATATACCTCTCATCTATGAATGAAAATTTGCTAAGATTTGTTGAGATTTTTTTTTTTGTTGCCTTCATACCTTAGGTTATAACAGAATGAAGTAACATATGCGAAGAATGAAGTAACTCTTTATAACTGATTTGGTAATGTATCACTAGCTATGGGTAAAACTTTTAAGTCTCTAGGAAGCTGTATTACGAGTGACTGGTCTTTCTATTTCAGTGATTGTACAGAGGAACAAATGTTTACGGCTTTAAAGATAGTGGCTGGTAATCCTGTTGCAGTGGACGCATTAATGGAAATATTGCAGACATTTTTATTGGCATACTGTCGAAGGAGGAAAATTAAGTATGAAGAGGCAAAAGCAACTTAGATGTTGCATTCGACAAGTATAAATATTTTCGTGTCAAGTTGGGAAAGCACTTTTGGAATTAATAACCAACTATGTGAGGAAGATATGGATGTAATTATGGCTTTTAACGTAATGAAATAACAGTAACTTTATTTCGACGAACTGTTACTGTTTGAGAAATAAACATAAAAGGGGGAAGAAGTAGGAGCAAGAAAGGGATTCTTGAACAGGAAAATTCATATTTATCTTTAGGATATGATCCCTATGCAATGATCAAATAGAAAAACAATAAAATATAGGAGGAGTAGTGCTTCACATCTTTTCAAGCTATTACATATCTTTGATCACTGCTGTTTTGACTGGATAATTCATGAAACGACTTGTTAAGCGCTTCAATTTCACGACTGGCTGTAATTAGTGATCGTTTAATATACGCTACTTCCATCAAAGTAATATTGTCCATTCTTGCATGACATGATTCTACCTGTAACACGGTTATTACAGCAGACAATCAATAACTTTTGAGAGGTGAAGAAGAGATCATAAAAAGGACACGAAAGGAGAGCGGGAAACTAAGGAATTAGTATAGGCAGCATTCATATACATTTGAATTATTACTGAATCATAGGTATTGTTCACGTGTTCATTAATGTCCATATTATATTTTTCTTCAATTGTTAACTATTCATGTTAGTATAGCCGAGGATTAATTACTCATTTACTCATATAATCGAGATATGCGAAACTAATTGTTATTGTAACTAATATTGTTGTGCAATTTAAAATGGAATGGTTCTAAAATCCAAAAACCTAAAAATGAAAGAGTTTCAACAGCAAAGCTTAGATTGATAAAAGCAGAAACTGGTACACAATCTTAACTTTTTTCAATCGACGCTACATGTGATGTTGCACTTTGGTAGGTATAGTTGAGACAATTTTTCATCATAATTTGTTCATCCTTTCAACTATAATGAATATACCTGTCCCAAAAATTTAGTCGATGAATTGTTGAGCTTTGCAGATCGCTTATCCCATAAATCTTGTACATAAACTCGTATCTGCAAAAAATGGTAATAGTGCAAGAAACCGTTGCTCACATTGCATGCATTTATGATTAAATAATTTAGCTTAAGCGAGAGCGAATAGCGAGTAGCTAGGATTTATAAGACAGAAGAGTAATATCTAATATTTTAAATGTATTCTTTATATGTGTACTGTACGATTAACCTGAGCTCTTAAATGCGTATGTAGTTGAGATATTTTAAGTAATTTAAGTGAATTTTGAAGTAAAGTTTGCGAAGTTTGTCTCATTTTCGGAGGCATTAAAAACCATTCACGCTGAGATAAGTCTTTCGTCCTTTGTTTCTCATCTTTTTTCGTTACTTCCATTTCACCATTGTTCATAGTTACCATTACCAATCAAAAATCTGTTTCATAATTTAAAAGGCATAAACCTTGCTCACTGTTTCATGAATGAAATGTTTTTATATTAGAAAGGTAATATTTTTGTGTAAGAAAATAAGTTTTATTTTGATCTACCAAAAATGGAATATTTTGTTACAAGAGATATCAGCAACAAGAAGACAAAAAAAAAAAAAAAAAAAAAAAACGCTTAAGAGACTAAAAAGTGTTCGAAAAGCAATTAAGAAGCCATAAAATTCAAATTGAGTTTCATGCGAGAGTAGTGCTGCAGATTTCATTGCTTTCTATTCACAAGAAAGGATAAAGTAGGTTTCCTACTATATATCAATAATCGAGTGATTTTTTCTATCCATAACGTTGGAGATTTCACTTCTTACTCGTTTGGACTAAGTAATATATCAGTGAAATTGAAGTGGTGGTCTTCGACAGGAATGTCTGATCTTACATGAGGTGTTAAATTCCTAAAGGACCGTTTCACTCTTCTGATTAAAATAAAACTCCAAACCATATCGCTATCCGGAAGATCTTCTTTGGCATATTGTACGAACATGTGAGCTATTTCCAAATAAAACCGTGGTACTTGTCCAAATGCATTAGTTCCACTTTCCGCTATTACAAGCTTTTTCAACTCCTCCACACATAACCATTGTGGTGGCTTCAAACGAAAAAAGAAAAAAAAAAAACAAAGAAAAATGTTTTAAAACAAAAATACCAGCAAAGACATAATTCTTCATAATAATATCACACTTTTCGCATAATACCACACTTTCTGAATTAATTACAATTGCTAATTATGATAAATTCCACCGTTATTAAAAAAAAAAACCAACAATGATAGTGCATTTTCGCCTTTTCCTTAACGTAACTGCTATCCAGAGTGGTACCCAAATAGGCATACCAGCTTCAAATGGTCCAATATCACCACATATCAGATGCAATTCATCCAAATTAAACTGCGGATTTATCTGTGAAATGAAATTGTTTTTTGCTAAATAAGTTGTTTTCGATCATGTATAAACACGATTTGTTTTTCGTCAAATTTAATCTAACTTAACAAAACTTATTTTATATTTGAATTTCTTGAAGCAAGAAAGCTGTGGGTAGGATTAGCAAAAATAATTCTAAACACAGCAAAAATAAACCTGAATCCATTCATTACCGGCAATAAATTCACATTGTTCCGGCGTCATCATCACCTCACTCAGAACTTTGTTTCCCTTATTTTTTTTTTTGCTGAAATACCTTAGAAATTAAGTAACTAATCCGTCTAACACCAATGAGATATAATTTTAAATTATGCTAAGACAAAAGAAAAGAAACAAAACAATAAATCAAGCAAACAATAAATATCAATTAGATCTAATATAATTTACGATAAACAAACTTGTAGTAATAAGCTAATTCTTAATTTAATAATTTATATAGTCGTCTTTTTTTTTCAAATATTGCTCATATAATTAACAACAAATAATTATTTTTTACAAATTACTAACATTCAATTATAGTTTCTATAAAATTATCATAAAAATTTAATGATATAAGTATACAAATGAAGGTAATTAGTAATAAAAAGAATACAAATTATCAAATAAACTATAAAATTATATCAAAAGAAACCATCCAACGATCAAATTTGTAAGCGTACAATAATCACATTTAAATGTTTAATTAATGCATTGAGCGCGTAAAGACGCTCGCATGGCTGTGACACAAATTGCCAATGACTTAAATAGCATCTCATGTGCAAATAAACAATAAGTCCTCTCCAAATAAACAATAAGCTTCCTTTGTTGCTAAAATAATGAATTAATTATTTTAATATTTATTAAAATTCATTCTTATTTTTCTTTAAACTAATCAAAATTTAAAAAGTAAAGCGAAAAAAATTTTTTTTTTGCATTTTATCATTATTGTGAACCAATTATTTCTTCATTTCTTCATAATTTTTATATTAAAGAATGAAAATAATTTGAACATATAATAATACTTTATTATATGAAAATTACTCGTAATTCCATCATTAATACTTTAAGTTATTACTTTTTTTTCCATGTAATTGCTAAATTTCATCCTTAATAATTTAAAATTTTTACATTTCGAATTATTTTTAAACAATTTATAAATTACAAACAAGTAATAAAGAAACAAATAATATAAAAGTATTAAGAAATATTAAATTGATTCAGTAAAATTTTTAATTAAATCAAAAAATAAAAGTAAAAAGGAAATCGAAAGTTCAAACAACTGAAATTCGAAAATATAAGATGTTCCCAATTCAAAAATAAAGCCTTCCATTTTTTCATATCATTCAAACAATTACTTTAATAAAATATTCGAATGTTTATACCATTCATAAATTTGCAATCAAAATTAATTAATTAATAGTTTATCTTTTCAAGCCAAAATTTACCATTTTTCGTTTAATTAAGTAAGTTAACAAAATTATTGAGTTATTTAAACTTCAAATAAAAAATTTTACATAATAAAATGTTCTTTCATTTTATTTTGTTTAGTTAATTGTATTGTTAGCTAAATAGTAATGCATTAATTCAAATTTTGATAACTGCCAGTTAGTTTTTAATTCGGAACAATCTTTTTTTTTCCCTTTTTTTTAACTGAAAATATTTATGTGTGTGTGTGTGTATGTGTGTGTGTGTGTGTGTATGTGTGTGTGTGTGTGTGTATGTGTGTGTATGTATGTGTGTGTGTATGTATGTATGTATGTATGTGTGTGTGTGTGTATGTATGTATGTGTGTGTGTATGTATGTATGTGTATGTGTGTGTATGTATGTGTGTGTGTGTGTGTATGTATGTATGTATGTGTGTGTGTATGTATGTATGTGTGTGTGTGTGTGTGTATGTATGTGTGTGTGTGTGTGTATGTATGTGTGTGTGTGTGTGTGTATGTATGTATGTGTTAATGTAATGAAATAAATGTAGTGTAAATGTATGTAGTGTATGTAAAGTAGATGTGTAATCAAAATGTGTTAAAATATGTTAGATAACAATGTATGTGGGAAAAAGTTTGTTCTATTGGAAATTAATTAAAATTATCAGTTAATGAATGTAAATTATAATATGAATTGCAATATTTATCTGAATTTGAAATTATACATTTTGTATAATTGTAACACTTTTTTGCTTGATTAAATTTGAAGTGATAAGTATATGTGTTGTAGTTGTAGTTGTTATGTTCTTCTCTTGAAATAATTTTAAATCTGACAATTCTATCAAAATTAAGTAGGAATTGATTTTAAAAAAAAAGAGAAAACATTTTTAGATGATTTATCTATTTTAACGCTAATTTTAAATTTTAATTGAAGATAACATTGTTCTAAACAAATATTAGTATATTTATCGTCTAAATGTTACATGCTTCGTTATAAATATGAAATACCATATGATCGTTCTCTTCTCATAAATCATTCAGATTTGTGATGTATTTAATTCAAAAGAAAATTTAATTTAATTTTTTTTTTTTGCTCGTTGCTCGTTTTTCAATTTTGCTACATTTATATCACAAGGATTTAGTTTTATGAAACTTTGATATAAATTACAGAACTTGTTGAAATGTTAACTGAAAAAGCAAACAGATAAG